CTGGGCCAGGTCGCGAGGCAGAGGGAGCCGGGCCGGCCAGGCGGGGGCGGGGCCGGCGCCTGGGGGCGGGGTCTCGGCCTCACCTGGTTCACCTTCTTAAAGGGACAGGAGGGCCGGAAGGAAACTTGTCCGACAGGTACCACACTGGAAAGCCTGTAGGCGTCTCGACCGGAATGAGACTGCGGGCGCCGCCTAGTGGGTGGGACCGGGCATCGACTCACCTTTCTCAATTAGGATCCTAACCCCAATCCACCTCAATCCACCCTGGTTTTACCTCTGACGTGACGACACCCCTGTATTCCTCCCAGGGCGTTTGTGCAGACCCTAGACCGGTGACAGGTACCAGGATAGGCAGCAGTGAGGGGCACCTCCGTCCTCTGGTGCAGGAGGCTTAGCCGACCACAGTCAAGCGGGTGCAGCCCTTAGCAAAGCAGCTAGGGGCAGCGCGGAAGAGGGAGGAAGACAGGCCCGCCGGCGGGGTGCCCCGAGAGAGCCCTGGGGAGAAGCTGGCCCGAGCCGGGTGGTCAGGCCGTGGTTGGGAGAGGCGTCAAAAGAGCAAGGGCCTGCAGGCGGGGAGCCTGGGGGAGCCCTGGGGAGTGGCGAGGAGACCAGTTTGACTGCCGGGGACCAGACTTGTCTTGGGAGCCAGGGCAGGAGAACAGGTACGGGCCAGTGCAGGGAAGGTCTCGGTAAACACGCGAAGGCGTTTGAAGCTCGCCATGCGGGAGATGTGGGAATCTGCGGACAGATCCAGGCACAGGTGTCGGAGGAGCGTGCTGGCGGCGACCTGAGCCCTGTCTGGTGGTGTGGGCCCTGGGCCCTCCTGTTTTGTTGGAGACCCCCTTCCTTCTGTCCTACATAACAGATGTTGATTCAGTCTCTGCTGTACACACCTTAAGCTCTGAAAGCACCTCCCCCCGCCCCCGCCCGTCCCAGTAAAATAGTCCGGGGCCGAAACATACTCTCACTCTGAAGAATGTTGCACCCAGGGTCTAAAGCTTGCACACAGATGGCTAAAGGGCAGGAGTGAACCCCACTGGATATGCAAACGGAGACAGTGACCCCAAGGGGAGTGATGTACCCCTGAAGGCTCTGCTCCCATGGCCCCTCCTTCCTTCATCCCATTTGGGGGACTTATTCACAACTGCCTAGCTTTAAAATTGTTGCTTGTTTTCATCACTTGAAGAAAGGAGGTAGTGAATTACAGTTGTTCATTTATTTATGAGTTAATTCTCCCCGCTTTTTTACACAGACACATATAAAGTACCCCCCCCAAAATAAACTTGGACCATAATTTCTTGGCCTAGTCTATCTTAATGGTACACATAAATAAATGTAACCCATGTGTATCAGTTAGAAATCCATATTGAGGCCGGGCATGGTTTCACATGCCTTTAATTCCAGCACTCGGTAGGCTGAAGCAGGAGAATCCTTGCGAGTTCAAGACCATCCTGGGCTACAAAGTGAACTCAAGGCCAGCCTGAACTACACAGCGAGACCCTGTCTCCAAAACACCAAACAACAGCAAGAAGAAATCCATGTTGAACAGGAAGACACTAAATGGAGAGCAGAACTCTCTCTTCTCCACTTGTTAGCGTCTGCCCCGCCCCAAGTTAACCTCCACACGCTTTTTCTTGTGGCTGTTTTCAGGATCCCCTAATACACACTATCACGCGTTTTCTCTTCCAGTCTTCTCTCTGGCTGCTACACACACAGTTTTCAACTCTGCGTGCAGAAGGGGCCGTGTGATACCAGGGGCCTCTTTCCCGATGTTAAGGGCTTTGGGAAAGAGGAGGAGGAGGAGGCTCACGCTGGCTCTCTGGGGTCAGAGCTGTGTGATTTCAGCGGGGAGGAACGGGCGAAGGGTGCAGAGCCAGCGGAAAGGGGGATGGAGCGAGGGTTGGACAGTCGCTGCTAGGCACGGAGCCAGACTGTGGTGAGGTAATGCGTGTGCTTCTTGCTGTAGTTTGTTAAAGTTAGAAGACCCTGGGGACCCCCGAGGTGGGGGGGGGGTGCACCACGCTGTGAGAGGTGGAGACTGCAGCTCTCAGCCCTGCCTTTGTTTTTGTCCGACCCTCTCTGTGGGTCTGAAAGTCTTGCATACGGGAAATGAAGGTCCTTCTTCCCCCATTCAGGGTGATCCTACTTTGACGTTTCTTCCTTACATTTGTTGCCTGCAGTTTTGGTCTCTGTCCTGAAGCAAGGGCACAGCTGTGTGGTTACTTCCATTTGTTGTTTCTACTCTTTGGGTTCTGCTTTTCCTAGTCCCGCGTGATTTCCGAGGCCATTTCCTAGGGTGAGCCTGGCCAGGGCAAGGCAAGAGGGTTCTGAGTTGGGAGACTTAGGCCATTCCCTTAGCTGTTTGGTGCCGTTGTCTCCTTAACTATCATGTGGAGTTAATCATGCCCACCTCAAAGAGTGGGTGTGACCATCAAAAGAGGAGTGAGTGCTCCCTTAACCGCCACGTACTAAGCAAGCGTTAATCTGCTGGAACTGGGGGAGGCTAGGACTTGCCTTCCAGAGCAGAACAGCCTCTATGACTAAGAGATCATGTTTTCCCTTTAAAATCAACTTTATTTTATAACATGCATAAAATAAATTGCACCCTTCCCAAGTGGACGGTTCAGGAGACTCTGACCAATGCATCTGCCCTCGTTACTGCCCTGTGAACACCCCAGTCAGGACAGAGAATGCTTCCATCCCCTAGAAATCTTTCGCAGCACCTCTTTGAATCAGTGCCACTCTGGCCCGGGGTATTTGTCAGTATAGATAAGTGTGGCCTTTTCCAGAATCTCACGTCATTTCTGGGATCCAGCTTTTCTCCTTCAGCGTGACATTCCCCAAATCCACATGTCCGCTGTTGGCTTGTCACTGCTGAGCAGTATTCCCTGTATGGATGTCCTAGGGCCTCCTTAGCATTTCAAAGTCAAAACTAAAAATTCTTTCTCTGCTTTGATCTCGTAGGAGCCACAGGCCTCCTAGCTGACTGCACCTCCCAGAAGGGCTCCTCCCTCCTTCTTCAGAGCCAAGTGTGGCTGGTGTCTTCATTCTGTTCTCAGGGAGGAAAACGAAGCCTCCACAGCCTGGGATCTCCTGGGCTCTGGCTTCTTCCTGCAGCCTTGATCTTAACGCTACTATTTTTGTATTATCCTCCACTTTCCTCCCTGGCTGGCTCCTTCCTGATCTGGGATAAGGTCAAATTACACCAGCCTGTATTAAAGTCTTTCATATCCATAAAGCTCTGGTTAAGATGCAACTTACATCACCAGGAGGGTAACCCAGTAAGCTGCCGGTAACCACTATGTGACCATAAGTACAAATTAATTTATCAGATTAGTATCAGGTCTTCCAGCAAGGGCTTCTGAGGAGGCAATGAAAATAACGTGTTGGTTGCATGGGGCTGGCCCACACTTGCAGGCAGAGATATTTGGGAGGCTGTGTGGGCAGTGGGAGGAAAAGAACCAGCTCTCTGTAGTGCAGCGTTCGGGCGGATTCTGCACATCTTTGATCACAAGCCTGAGTTGGTCCTTCCTCTTCTTTCTCATCCGTGCTCTACCTATCGCTCCTCTGATCCTAGTTTACTATCAGGCATGGGGCGGGGATAATAATAGTTACCATTTATTACTGCACCTACGCATGCTGTGGGGCACTTTATGTCCATCATTTCCCTCACTTCTCACACCAACCCTTTGAGGAAGGTATTATTAGTCCCTTTTATAGATGCAAAAATCTGAGGCACAAATTGTATAAGCTATCTGTGCAAAGTTACTTAGTTGCAGACCCAGAATTCGAGCCCAGTTCTGTGTGTCTCCTGGGCCTGTGGTCCTACCTCAGCCCTACTCAGGGTTTCAAGAACCAGAGATGCTGAGAAACATCTCACTTTTGTTTTGCACCCTCTTCCCTTACCCCTTCCGGGGAACAAC